TTAATTATTTTACCAACACTTGCTTTGCCTCCCTGCCTCGCTCCAACACACACACACACACACACACACACACACACACACACACACCCCTACACCCACAGACCACACTCACTCAAACTATACCACATAGGTCACTTTTCTCTTTTTCATGGTTGAGACTAACTTTATCTTTAAAAAAAAGACAAAGAAGAATGAGACAACTTAGAATATTTTAATAGACCAAGGGCTTTTGATCAAATCTCTAAAGTTTTACCAGGCATGGTAGGGAAACTTGCATTTGCTCTCATTCACAGCATCACATTTAAACAGTGCGTAATAGAAGAAGAGTTTTAAAGACTTCCAGAAGAAGAAGGCATGCTATATTTATTTAAATAACTAACACTGTTCACAAAACATCAAGAGAATTCATTAAAACCTTCATCACTAACAGTGCTGTCATTAATAGCAAAATAGTTTCTGAACCTGACCTTATAAGCCTTTAAGCCTATGCCCCTCACTTGTTAATCCCTTTCAGTGTGACTTGCTCTTCTGAAACTGCTCTCTCCAAGGCTGCTAATGATTTCCTCACCACCAGATTCAATGATATCTTCTAATCCTTCATCCTTTTAAACCTCCTAGATACAATTTATACTGACAACCACTCCTCCCTTGAAATTCTCTCCTCCCTCAAGGTCTATGACACTGATGTTTCTTCCTTTGTTCTAGCTGTGGTTCTTACATGTTCCGTCTTGTTTCGTAAATACAGACATTATCTTAGCTTTGCAGTTTGTTCAGAAAGAGAAGGATGGGCCTGTTTGTTTATTTATTTAACCTCAACCTTACCTCTCAACAGTCTTTCCCTTGGCAATGTCATCCAACAGTTAACCTATTTCCACCATCACCTACCCATAAGTACTTCCTGAATTTGGGGTCTTCACTTCCAGCTGCATATAAGACATCAGCATTTAAATGTTCCACTAGCATTTCATATTCAATCTGTCTAAAATTAACTCATTATCTTCCTTACCAAACCAGCTCCCCCTTTTTTAACTTTTGCTACCTCTAGTTAATGGCATCTCCTATCTCCCAGTTAGTTATCCAAGCTCCAAACCTTAGAGTCAATTCTTACTCCTCAATCTCCTTTGCTTCCCTTATCTAATCACTTGATTAAAAAACAAACAAAAAACAAAAAAACACAGCTTCTACCTTCTCTTACCAATCAGATCTATCACTTTGTTTCTGTTCATTCCACCCCCTCAACTTCTACCAGTTCAGGCTTTTCCTACATTATGCAACTGCCTGTACACTGATCCTATCTCTTGATTTTTCATTTCTTGCAAGATCTAGCACAGTGATTCCTAGAGAGTAACTTCAACAAATGTTTGTCAAATGAATTAAATAAAGGAACAAGTTTTAAAGTTTTCAGAGAGAAGGAAGCCGTGAACAATAAAGATCAGAAAAGGTAAATTGCTAAGTTTTAAAAGCCTGGATCTTAAAATGAGAAGGAAGGTCTTAGAGATGTTAGCTTTAAAATTTTAAATGTATTATATTTACACATCGGAACCTGTTTTGTGACAGAGTAAAGAGAAAAATCTGACAAATGAACTTTTAGTATTTTGGAAAGAAACATGCCATATTCTTAATCTTTTAAAAACTCATTAAAATTCTGAAGAAATCTCACTGTTTGAGGTGTTCACACTTATGGTTATTCCAAACTCCAGAGGCATGATTTTTTAAATCCAGTGGCAGTTTTTTAGGTATAGTATATTCTTTCACCATTCTGTTCCTCAAGCATGAGTACAAAGCCCCCTAGAAACTTTCAGTTACTTAGATGTCCCTGTGAAAAAAGTCATTTTTTGCCACAGACTAGCAGGTGAAAACCATTTTCAAAATATAAATGCATACTCTCCCTTTCTGTTGGTCACTTATTCTAGGTTAGTGAATTTTTTTTTAATAATCTATTAGAAAATGTTTCTGCGCAAAAGTCCCTGGTGAGAGCCATTCTTACCAAGATCCAGAAATTTTATGGAAGCTTCTTTTTCATATATAACTTTAGACTTTACTAAGAGTTGGGACTATCAAAGATACATATTTTTAAAGGTTTAATGACAGGCGTTAAGTGGGAGAGATAGTACTTTAAATGAATGGTCACAAAACTTTTAGAAAGCTTATCCTACCCTATCATTCTCTGCATTTGTGAAGGATTGTTTACTTCCTGACACATTTTCACATAATGCATAGAACAAAAATACTGCATTTGTCCATCATGAGACTGTGCATTTGGCAAAAATCTGACATGTCCAATTAATTTTGAAAAGAAGATAATTGCTGCTTGAAATAAAAACTGTATATATTACAAGAACCAAATTAAGCAGATTACATCAGTCTTCCTAATCCACTGATCAATACAGTAAATGTAATATGCCGAGAGCTTGAAAACCGTTACACTTCTTCAAACTTTTAGAAACCTTCAAACCCAGGGTATATAGTATTTTGTTGTTTGCTTTGTCTCTTTACTCTCAACCTGAAAATCAATTTTTCTAGGTTTGGTGATATAAGGAATCAAAAAGAAATTAGCTATGATCAAATAAGGTTATGATCTGAACAACTGAAGTGATAATTTTATATTTGGGAATCTGTAGATGATATGAAGCTTTTGTCCATTAACGTATTAAATATATTTTTTTAAATCTCTGTTGATGAAAGATGCAGACTTCCATGTTTTCTCCAGCAGAGTTAATGAAGTAAATGGAAAATATCTCACTAATTTCTTAAACCCCCTTGCGAGGCAAGAAAATGACATTCTCATCTAACAGCTGGAAAAACCGAAGAACTAATAGATGTAACTGCACTCAATTGCAAAGGAAAATAATAGCTCTAATATACCGTGAGTTGTGGATATGAAAGAATATTGCATACACATATCCCCTCCCTTATTTTTAAGGAATCAATCTTGGATCTTGGCCCTATACCTTTTGGCAGAGTAAATTATTGCCTCAAGGGCAGGCTGTGCAGTCATCCTTTTAATTTACTTTTAAGTAGCTCTTCCCTAATCCATACCACCTAAGATTGGGCCAATCATGAATTTTCAGGAAACTTAAGTCACTTATTCTATAGATTTTTTTAACTAGAAATTTTTCTAGTTAAAATTTTTTTTTAAGTTTACATTTTCTAGATTTTTCTCCCTAAATTCAATGTACTTTGCAAAGTACATTGGGACACTAATTGGGAAGTAAAAAGGAACAAACTGAATTGATTTGTAGTTTCACAGAAATGAATTTGACATTTCACTTACAAGTTGCAAACCAACGTATAGTTTTGAACACTTCTGAATTTGTTTTGCAAAAAAGTGGAATGTTTCACTCGAATCGAAATGCCCTCAAGTTATTTCCAGTACTGCTGTAGAATTGATTTTTCTAGGTTAAGGGAACGCCAAAGTGAGGAGATACTTCTTTTTTTTTTTAATCATTATCTATTTTTCTTAACTGGGTTTAGGACATCCCAAAACAAATCAGGAAAATGTAACTTCATTTCAGTATTACCAACATAGGGCATTTTGTAATGACTGTAACATGACTGTGACATTATGACAGTGAAGTATTCATTTTTAATCTTTTTAAGCTTTAAACAGAGAAAGCTTTTCCTCGGTATGTCCAATAGAAATACAATATGTAAATTAATCCATATTATCTGTATGCTGATTGGCTTGAGTTCCCCCGAATGTCACAATCTCACCACCCAGCAATGAGGTATTTTACTGCTGTCTGGAGATCAAATTATTGCTGTAGAGAAGATCTTTATTTTTTCTGTTTCATTAACAGATTATTATAAAGCAATAAGCATGCAGGAGGAGAATCAGACGTTTTACCTTGGGAATTAATGAAAGCATTTCTGCTCGTTTTTGGAGGTGGAGTTGTTTAAAATCTTATACCACCCCCACAAACAAAATTCTTACGAAATGGTAAAATAAGGAAATCCATGATTCCAGAGACATCCCTAAGCACCCAGGTGTCAAGCTATGTACTGTCTTGTGATATCATCGGACCTTTTGGACGGGTGTAAGTTTTATGAATCGTTATATTCCTAGTATTTTTCTTCCTTAACAACAAAGGGGGGAAGGAAACTCATACATACAACTGCTGTGACATTACCAATCTATTGGTCAGCCTTACTTGCAAGAAGCAAAAGAAAGGCTATTGCTTGGTGGGGTGGAATGCAAGGAGCAGTCATTTAAAATTTGTGTAAGCCTGGTTCTATAGTCATATTCGTTATGTGTAAGCCTGGTTCTATAGTCATATTCGTTAAAGTCGAATGGACATAAATCATTTTGCAGCTTTCCTCTGAACTTAGTTTCTTCCTACTTAACGCATATCTGCGTGCACTGGAGAATAGACGAAGACTAACAAAGGGCTGCCCTAACCTGCTTTCCCTTCTTCCCCATTGACAAGATTTTTCCTGACTATGCCTTTTTTCTTTTTAAAAAAAAATTTTTTTTTTCTTTTCCTTTCTTTTTTCTTTCTCCCCTCCCCTCCACTCTCCCCCACACCAAGCTAACCTGCAAATGCAGTCAGCTGGGGAAATCATTAAAGAAGAAAGCTGAAAGAAGCTCCCAATGCTTTGGACCGCCCTAAAAGAGCATGGAGGAAAATGGGGAAAGCGAGGGTTCCCGGAAGCTGAGGTGGAGGCGGGCACCCCGGGCTCCGGGGTGCGCTGCCCTAAGGGAAGAGGGTGGGCCTGAGGTCCTGAACGAGCCTTTCCAAACCCCACTCCCAATGCAGGGAGGGAAAAGTTCAGAAGCAGCCGCAAGGGGACACAGGCCAATTTTGCCAGTTCAACAGGACAGGACATTCAATAAACCCAGCCCGCTCTGGAAACGGGTCGGGGCTCCTGTTGGCTCCACAGAGGCTGAGGTAGCCCCCTGCCGCCGCCCTCGCCACCGCTGCCGCCGCCGCCGCCGCTGCCCCTGCGTTACTGGGGGAGACGGTGCCGCTGCGACAGGGGAGGACGCGGCTGGAGCTCAAGGAGGCTCCAGCGCGCAGGCGCCGCCGAGCCCTGCCTGGATGTTCAGTCAAGGCACTAAGGCAAAAAAAAAATCAGCAGTTTATAGAAAGAAGAAGCTATAGTCTGTCGGGATATCCAACACCAACAGGTAGGAGGATATACTCTCGGTTAAGTTTGGGGGGAGGGGGCACACAGTGTTGATGAAACTGCAGGTTCACCGGGAAAGAGCCCTCCTTGAGTTTTTTTTTGTTGTTTTTTTTGTTTTTTGACAATAAACTGCATAATGGAAGTACATTCAGACAATGCATCTTCAGTAGGGCTTACTGAGAGCTCCATTTCTGGAAAGCGTTGCAAGACTGAGGAATATCAGACTGCGAATCACCGGGAACAGTTCCCTTGCAGCACAGAAGCAATCTCTCCCCATCTTCGCGTATGTAATGCATGTCTCTCTCCCCCTCCCCCTCCTCCACCCCCCCATTATAAATCCAGGGGTGGCGGATTTCAGGTTTCGTAATGTTGCATGATGCGATCGGTATTTACCCGGGGATGTACCGGTGGGGAAATTAAAATCATCGAACGCAGTGTTGCCTGGGCTTCTATCAGCATATTCCGGGCAAGTGAGAAGTGGCAAAGGAAACATGCTTGGTGGGAATAACAGAGAAAGCCGATTTCCCTGGTGGGGCTCCCCAACACCTAGGAGACAATGTGCATTTTGTTTTAAAATGAAGCCACTTGCGATGTGCAACGAAGATTATCAGTGTAAATGGGAAAAGCTTAATTGCCCAAGAAATACAGGTTCATGTTAAATTCATTTGAATTCAGGCAGCCCCGGTCTACAAATGTAAGTGCATTATTCCTCTGGGTGTTTCCCTGACCAATATTTACATTAACCATTTTTAATAATCATGTGGATTTAAAAGAGAAAAGATTTGCCAAAAATGGGGGGGGAGGGAAAGACAAAAGATTAAATCACATCAAATCCTGGGACAAGTTCCTATTAATTTAGACGTCTAATGTTGAAATCATGCTTTAAGATGAATCAACAAATATTCCTCTTATAATATGCAGCATGAATAGTGGCACTTGAGTCAAAAGACATATATTTTGGAAGGGTTCTTTGGATCCGTATCAGCAGAGAAGCTGCAGGGAAAACACTGACAGATACTAACAGACCTCAGATAAATGTGGGCTGTCTCTTCTCTGTCTCCTATTAGCAATCTTGTAGATTCCATTGCAACACTAGTGATTAACTCCAGGACTGGCATATTCCCCATACAATTGGGGAACATTTTATTCCTTCTCTCCTAAAGGTGCCCAATCAAATGTATGTTCTTTTAAATAGATACATTTAAAAATTCATCTAGCTCAGAAAACTGAACAAGCCAATTCTCTGAAATCTCAAGCAAAAATACTAAAGCAAATAATATTATTCAAAAATAAAACTTTATTTGCTTCCCCATAAATGAACAGCTTTATGTTAGCACTGCCTGACATCATTGCTTGTTAACTTTAGAACTGATAGCTCTTTTTTTTTTCCAGATATTCTGATGGCAAATCAAATGGAAGAAAAGAGGAAGCATGACTGCAGATCGGATCAGTTCTCTTTGTGGATTACATTTTCAGTAAAATGCATGGATATATCTTTTCCTTGTTCTTATATCTAGATCATGAGACTTGACTGAGGCTGTATCTTTATCCTCCATCCATCTATGGCGAACTATAGCCATGCAGCTGACAACATTTTGCAAAATCTCTCTCCTCTAACAGCCTTTCTGAAACTGACTTCCTTGGGTTTCATAATAGGAGTCAGCGTGGTGGGCAACCTTCTGATCTCCATTTTGCTAGTGAAAGATAAGACCTTGCATAGAGCACCTTACTACTTCCTGTTGGATCTCTGCTGTTCAGATATCCTCAGATCTGCAATTTGTTTCCCATTTGTATTCAACTCTGTCAAAAATGGCTCTACGTGGACTTATGGGACTCTGACTTGCAAAGTGATTGCCTTTCTGGGGGTTTTGTCCTGTTTCCACACTGCTTTCATGCTCTTCTGTATCAGTGTCACCAGATACTTAGCTATTGCCCATCACCGCTTCTATACAAAGAGGCTGACCTTTTGGACGTGTCTGGCTGTGATCTGCATGGTGTGGACTCTGTCTGTGGCCATGGCATTCCCCCCAGTTCTGGATGTGGGCACTTACTCGTTCATTAGGGAAGAAGATCAATGTACCTTCCAACACCGCTCCTTCAGGGCTAATGATTCCTTAGGATTTATGCTGCTCCTTGCCCTCATCCTCCTAGCTACACAGCTTGTCTACCTCAAGCTGATATTTTTTGTCCACGACCGAAGGAAAATGAAGCCAGTCCAGTTTGTAGCAGCAGTCAGCCAGAACTGGACTTTTCATGGCCCTGGAGCCAGTGGCCAGGCAGCTGCCAATTGGCTAGCAGGATTTGGAAGGGGTCCCACACCACCCACCTTGCTGGGCATCAGGCAAAATGCAAACACCACGAGCAGAAGAAGGCTATTGGTCTTAGATGAGTTCAAAATGGAGAAAAGAATCAGCAGAATGTTCTATATAATGACTTTTCTCTTCTTAACCTTGTGGGGCCCCTACCTGGTGGCCTGTTACTGGAGAGTTTTTGCAAGAGGGCCTGTAGTACCAGGGGGATTTCTAACAGCCGCTGTCTGGATGAGTTTTGCCCAAGCAGGAATCAATCCTTTTGTCTGCATTTTCTCCAACAGGGAGCTGAGGCGCTGTTTCAGCACAACCCTTCTTTACTGCAGAAAATCCAGGTTACCAAGGGAACCTTACTGTGTTATATGAAGGAGCATCTGTACATCTTTAGCCTTGTGAAACACTAACCTTCTCTGCTAAGCAATTGTGGCCTGTAGCCATTTCTTGAGAAGAAAATCAAGAATGGGATCGGCAGTTATAAGGATTTGGGCAACATTCTGCAGTCTTTGCAATAGTTCACCTATAATCCTATTTTAAATCTCAGAGTGATCCTGCTGACTGCCGGCGAAGGTTTGTAATTAAGAAAGGACTGAACCACTGCCCTAAGTTTCTTTATGTGGTTGAAAACTAGATAATGAAAGTAGCAGGTGCTAAGTATCAGTGCTAAACGCTGTGTATATCACTACTTATGAAAAAACATCAAAAAAAAACCAATTAGCATTGGACATCTTAATAAATTAAGTTGACATGAGGTAAATGTGCTGATAAAAACTAATTTTAGAAGTTTGAAGACTTTAAAACATTTCATACTATTATTGTTTTGCAAGGACTAAAATATTTGGGGACTTAAAGTACTGTAATTCACTAAAGACATGCCATGAATTATTGGATTACCACACTTTTAAAAAATCACCTTGTAAGTTTTGGGGAGCATTCCAAAGCAGTATATTGGTTTCAATTAGAGTTTACTTTTTTTGTATTAATACATTACTGTTTCTAAATACAACTTTCCTTACCTACTAGTGAAATTGCTAGCATCGAACTGTATTATGTGGTTTTTGTTGATTTGGTATAAAGTTTTTCCAATTCATCTATATTTTACAAATACTAGATACTGGTCTGGGAGGCAACATTAATGGTACCAACCGGTCACAACTGAGCAGTTCTAATAATGCAGAATAAACACATGTTGCCTTAAAGGATTATCTAGTATCTTTCATCTTATTTAGCATTGGAGCAAACTGGAGTCATGGGAAATTGAATCAGTAACTGGTCATGGTCATGCAACTGGAAGTGCATGGACGATCATTTAATACTCTTTTTCCTTTTTCCTCACATAGTTTGAAAATTAAGGTGCACATCACTGGGATAATGAGATTTTCTTCTGAGTTGTGCTACCCATTCTAGTGTGTTCTAAGAAGGAGGCAGTTGATGTGTGTTTATATTTTAAGTCAGCTGTCAAGGGGAGACCACAGCCTTAGTATGACATCCTGCACAATTTGTAAAGCCTTTATTCTACCGAAGGCACAGTCTTGTTTATACTTTCTGCACATTCAGTGTATTGGTCGTTTAAATTATTTCAGTTTTAACTTGTGAAAGCTTATAATATGATTTCTAGTATTTCAGAAATACTTTAGAGTCTGTGAGTCTCATTCTTCAAGATACAGATGTGTGAATTTCAATATAAAGTTGCATTTGCCAAAATTTACTTGTGTAGCCTGTTACTTTTCTTGGAATAAATTTTACATTTTTGGCACTTAATTTTTTTTTTAATTGGGAGGCAAGCACAAAATAGGAAGACTAGCTTTATTATGGTTTTGTTTCTTTATTTTTGTAGCTACTATATTCTGGAACTGAAAATGCATGAATGATGGGGAACCTAAAGCTGATAAACTGACAAATAATATCTGCAAAAGCATTATTTGGTAGCTTTTGTCGTATTTATCCTATTTATTCTTACAAAGCCAGTAATATTTAAAGATGTAAACCTGCTTAGTTGGTTGGTTCAGAATTTTAATATAAACATCACATTTTATTTTGGGCCATGGTAGAAATTTTGGATTCTAAATACATAACTTGTAAGAAGAATGGTTTACAATTACATTATGACAAAACCAGAAAAGTTGTTATTGTTTTTGTTTGTTGTTCATTGTTTTTGTTTGTTTGGGGTTTTTATTTTTATTTGGTACTTGAAAATTAAGATTAGGAATCTAATGGAACAGAATTCTTTATTGCTACAGTGTTTCTGTAAAGAAAACATCAATATAAATATAAGTAAGGAAAAATAAATCATTGAAATATTTCAATGATATATGCAACAATTCAGTTTTGCTCATATAAGGACAGCTCAAGCCATGATTTAGTGAGCACTCTATTTGAACTCATTTTTACTTTATACCAAAGTTGATTGGATCTGAGACAAAATTTAATGTACAACAGTGAACTGAATCTAGCAATAAAGACCCCTTTTGGTACTAAAATCATTATCTAAAATACAATTAAGGAAATGCTATCAAAAGGTATTGGGATAACATTATGTTTCCAACTCAAAAAGTTTACAGTAGAGACATAATTACCATGACTATATTTATAAAGAGCTTCGCTTAAAGGTTCAAATATCACCAGCAATCAGTAGAAAATTCAACAATGATCTTGAGGCCAGAGAGACCAGGTTTTATTAACACTGGCCTCCATTATATACACAAAAACCTGAGGCATGGATTAAGACTAGGAGACTGGGAAGTCAAGAGCAACAACCAAGTGAGATTGCCTGATTCTACCTAGCTATTTGGAACAACATATTCCAACAGCTTTGGTAAGTGATCAACCCCAATGATCAGTGAATAATACCGAACTGTAGTGACTCTCATTTAAGCCTACTCTTGACTAACTTGGCATTTCAGGTCAAGGGGCAAGCAGTGGGTGAGATACATCCCCAGTTAATCACTGCTATTTGTAAGTCAATAAGTAATGGTAGCAATCATATAAAATAAAAGTCTGCTTCAGTGACTCAAGGACCAAATCACATTATCTATTTTGGCACCCATTCCAATATTTAATAATGAAAAACAGTTGCAACTAATTCAATTTGAAAATGTTACTAATCTTCAACCCATAAAAATACATTCCCACTGGGGAGTCCAACTTCACTGTGAGAAAAACCCTTTATCAGTAATAATGTGTCCCTCTAGGACTAATTACATCTGAGTTGAACAGGCTTTAGATTGTTTTCCTTAACAGTGGTAATGTGTTTGCATGGATGTGTCTATAATCTCATCTGGTTCCTTTTGTGCACAGTGGATTTATTTGTGAGATGCTTGGCTGGAGCTAGGCATTAAGTCTGTGACTGTGAAACCCTATGCAGATAATAACTGAGGCAGAAGGAGGTGAGTAACTGGCTCAGTTTCCCGTGGAGGCTCCATTTAAATAATACAAAATTAACCATAGTGATTAGATTTTAAAATTTGTGGGACAACCTATTGACTGAATTATCTTCTCAAATGTTAGCTGGTTGGGTTTCAACACCAGCATTTTTCATAGAGGTTAATAACTGATTTGTCTTTACATGGTTATGGCCCCTTATCCATTTGCCTCTACATCCATGAATACTAACTGAAATGCTTATTTATTCATTCATTCAACAAATATGTGTTGGTCACTGAGCTTGGTGCTGAAAGCACAGTAGAAAACAGGCAGAACAGAATTAAATATGTAGTAGCAACAAGTTACAAGTGTTACAATAGTAAATGTTTCTAAAATGGACTTGATATTAATGACCATAAATGGACTCTCTTCCATTTTCCCTTCATGCCTTACCCCCTATCTTTCCCAGTATTCCCTGGGATCTTTTATATATCATACTCCCTCAATTCACAGGGAGCTCCCCCATTCTGCTCACATTTCATTTAGATGAATCACCCGTGCTGTGTTTTGGAACCCTGAGTTCCCTCATTGTTAGTGGTTACACAAAGTAACAGCAAACCCTGAGTGTTAAAGTCCTCCCACTCCTGACTGTCCACTTCCATGTGGAGATACTTCAATCCCTTCAAATGACAGGGAGATGTTCTTTCTTCCATACTCATACCTTCCTGCAAGTTAGCATGAGAATGCCTGGGTAAAGTGCAATCAAAGGAAGGCACTAAGATGTCAACTCCCAGGGGGCCTCCCATGGTGCTCAAGCAAAGATGGGAATAACCTGTGAAACAGGGTACATATCTTTTATTATGAAAGCACGCTACTCCTTCAATGTTTTTCTTATTCCTTACTAGAGATACAACAAAACTCCCTACTCCTGCCCTCATCAACTGAAAAGTTTATTTGGCCTCCAAAATTTACTTCTATTGCAAATACAATGAAATGTACTTAAAATTATAGAGACGTATCCTTTTCAGCTAAGGCATGTAATAGCGCATTGTGTTGCAATGGGAATTACTGTAGGACAGTTGCAAACAGAACCAAAACCCTTCACTTCTGTAGATAAATTTACTTTACATTAGATAAATTTACTTTGTTCCATTCTTTATTCCACGTGTAGCATAAACTATATTGTTATTAAAACAAAGCAAAACAAAAACCCCAGCTTATATTAACTTTATATTAAAAAGAAAATTAAAAAGATAAGATGACAAATAGCAGTGTTTCAAGTACTGGCTAAATACAAGACCGATGGTTACCAGAATTATGGGTTATTTACGATTCTAGAATCATGTGAGTCTGTTTTTCTATGCAAAAATGCATCATTTTCATGTTTGTTAATAGTCTCATAAATGTTTTTAATGGAAATTGCAAGGTCTACAAAGATAATTGTTTGCTGCTGACATTTTTCTTTTGTTCTTAACTCTGGATATGCTAGTGTTCTGTGACTTTCCTAATTCTCTCACAAACTTTTTTTATACCATATTAAAATGATTGAATTGCTCAATTTTGAGGCACAAGTTCATAATTAGTCTATACAGTGGTTAAAACTAAGGGAGCATTTGGAAATGACTGGATTATTTTTTGCCATGAGTCGAAGCCGTCAAATAAGCTAAAGGGCTATTGAGAACTGGGGCAATGGAGAAAAGATTGTTTTGGCTAACTCATTTTGCCATTTACTGCATTGTAACAAGCTCTAAAAAATATATTTAAACCAAGAGACTTTAACTTTATAAAAGGATTATATAAATAAGACTTTGTTTTTAAAATGGAGAAGCAGTTTTTATATCACATCCTTTTGCCAAGAGGATGATGTCTATTAACTGCTCAAACCCTTTAGATTAAAAGGCTTTTAAAGCTAGTCTTCCTCCCACCAGATCAGGCAGTTAATACAAGGGCTGGAGCCCTGAAAGGCCCCAGAGCAAAGTAAAAAAGAGTGTGTTTCCCTCTGAGTGACTGTGAAAAAAGATCTTAAAGGAGTAACAGGTGGTTTGGGGTTTGAAATTAATCACACCTGGCATTCACAGCTAGTCCCTTAGCTCCTTCTGGTGCCATAGGATCTCATCCTCAGAAAGACAGGTTCTCAAGCTTGGCTTAGAGGCAGAAAACAGTTCCTTTTTTCTCTTTATGTTTGGAAAATTATAGGTTCTTGACACAGTATTAAAATTGACACTGTAATACATGTCCTGGATTATGAAGTTTTGAACAGATAATAAAATAACATTTAACTTATATGGGTATTCGAGATCATGGGAATAATGATCAATGGGAAGTAAGTCATTTACTACAGCACGGGAAAAAGTTATTATATTATTTAAAAACCTTAAAGCTGAATTGATAATTGAGCTTCAACTAGCTAAAGTTAATTAGCTGTTTCTTTTCATAGCTTTAAGAAAAAAAATTGGACTAGATGAAAGAGGAGTTTGTTCTTTTCTCCTCCATCCTAAAAGATGTTGAATTGAGAGATTTCATTTTCTCCAGGGAAAAAAAGAAATTTTGATCATTTTTAGTAAGCATTTTTACTTAAATATAATTCAACAATCATTTATTGTGTGGCTACTGCATATATTATCTTGGACAAGTTACTTAACCTTTCTATGCCTCCTCAATAAAAAAGGGATAATACAGCATACATCCTGATGTTATTGAGAGGACTCAATGAGTGCATCCTTATGAAGCCTTTAGAAGAGAGTCTAGCATCTTAAATAAATTTTAATTTTTACTGGTTCTCTCATAGTTCCCCATTTAGCAGCAGAGACACAAACAAATTATGAGACAATGTGATAAGTGCTGAAAGAGAGATATGTGAGATAAGTGTAAAAGAAACACAGACAAGACAATTAACTCTGTGAAGATGGGAGAAGGAAGGTGAGAGAAAAGGTGGCAGCTGAACTCAGTCTTGAAGGATAATTTTAATTTTATCTACTTGACAAAGTTAGGAAAGCTATTTCAGAGAAAGGAAATAATAAAATGAGCAAACTGTATAGAGACTTGAAAGCTCATGAAGTGTTCAACATAAGGATCCGACTAATCAGAGAAGTTTAATGTTGTGTGGCTGGGGCTTAGGTGCCTGGAAGGGGAGGACCAAAATGGCAGAGGGGTTAAAAAGCACAAGACATGGAAGTTTAAGTCCTTATTCTGTCCCTTACTATCTATATGATCTTGAAAAAAGTTCATTAAACTCTTTGAGTCTCAGTTTGCTTATCTGTAAATGGGGGAGTAAGTAGCAGCAACCACTACTTTCGAAGATTAAAAAATGAGATAATAATAACTATTATTAATTAAATACTTACTATTTGCTAAAGACTGTTCTAAACACTTTTCATATATGAACTCATCTGATTAACATAAGAAGTAGATGCTATTATTCTCCATACTTTACAAATGAAGAAACTGAATCACAGAGAAGTTAAGTATTGGGTTGGTCAAAATTTTCATTTGGGTTTTTCTATAAGATGTTACAGAAAACCCCGAACGAACTTTTTGGCCAACCCAACAGTAATAGGCAAAAGATGTATGTAAAGCACTTAGTACAGCGTGCAGCCCAGAGTGAGCATTCACTAAATATCAGCTATGCTGCCGCTGCTATTGCTATTGTTCATTTTAGCAAAATAACTGAAGAAGGTTAGAGATTAATGGGAGCTGAAGTGACTGAGCAGAAACAGCTCCAAAAAAAAAAAAGAGCTCCAGCCCTCAGACTTCAGCTCCACCTTGCTGTTTTCTCCCTTTTTCCACTAAAGGGAGCAAAGAATAGTAAGTAGTCAGTTGTCTAACAGCCCTCTCCACTTTCATGTAGGATCATATTAGCACAGAAACAAGAATCCATCTGATCTTTCAAATGAATGTTTAGAAGGACATTGCTCACATTACATCACTCAAATTTTGAAAGCGGACTACACAACTCATACCATGTGGAGAGTTTTACCTACATCTAGCTCATATTCTTCAGTCCTAAATCAGTTTTGTCACATTTTATATAAAGTGGAGATTTTATTTAAAGGGATGATTATAGTAAGCTGGGTAAAATCCTTTCAAGGCATCTGTTACCTAGTCTCGCTTTAAAGTCCACCTTTCAGGATCACCATTCCCAGCCACGTCCCAACTACTTACACTTATTTCCCTACTCTGAAATCTCTCCAGAGCCTTCTGTAACTCTAGCATTCATAACATTCAAAACTACACATAGTAAAGGAATGATTAATTGAGAATATAATGGCAGAATTACCTCATGAGTCCTGCCCACTTGGCATTCATGCATCCACATGGTCCTCACACTTGTATGACTATTAACTCATAGTCATTGTTTACATGCCTGGTGATCCTTCACTGCATTTTCTAAAGCTGATGTTTTGCCCATTTGAACCCCCTATATCCATCCCAATTCAGCTTCATTCTTTGTATTTGATCTCTTACTTTACCAGTAACAGTACCAAGGAGATTTCATCTTCTAAAGTGACAGCCACTGCCATACGACTACTCCAGTTTGGTCATGTGTGTGGGTCTCAGTAAATACAGTTTCTATTCAATTGTCCTGTGCCATGTGGAAAAGGGTGCCAGCCTGGGTGTCAGGAACTGAGCTGTTGACTGCCTATAGGCCATGGTCAAATCACTTGACTTCTTAGTTCCCTCAATTGTATAATAAAGTGGTTGATCTCTAAAATTCCTCCAGCTTGGACAAATCTATGGTTTCTCCATCTGGTTCAACTGTGTCCCCAGGACATTAATGACATGGTTATTTCTAACAGAGCTTCCCATGACTGACACTGGCCCACTGAGAGCCAATTCTCACATACAATATTTCAACTAACTAGGTTCCTACCCAAGCAGCTGTAGGTCCAAACTAATCCCAGCTTGTTGATATCAATGCTAGAGAATATCTATAGCATATTAAAATGCTATTTCACCAGGCTTCTCCTTTATTCATGTGCTAACTTCATAACAGCACATTATTTATTTTTTTAACATTTTTTAAAAATATCTTTCTTGGAGTATAATTGCTTTACAGTGGTGTGTTAGTTTCTGCTTTATAACAAAACGGAATCAGCTATACATATACATATATCACCGTATCTCCTCCCTCTTGCATCTCCCTCCCACCCTCCCTATCCCACCCCCCTAGGTGGTCACACCAAGCTGATCTCCCTGTGCTATGCGGCTGCTGCCCACTAGCTATCTATTTTACATTT